AAAATTAAAAGATCTGTCCACAGTAATGTTAATAGAAGAATCTTATTAAGGAAAGATGTACACGACGCATATCCCTTAGAACATAATAGTGAATATTTTCCCTTAGATTTTGACGACAAAAATATTAATATAATTTATGTATCAAAATAAAATTCTTACGTAATTTAAAACAGAATATTTAATTTACAATATTACAATCATAATATGCATTTCAAATATGATTACATCATATAAATTATACAAAAAAAAAGGACAAAATATGTTGAATAAAAAGAGTCAAATTGATGAAACGAAAAAACGTTAACAAATAAAAGATGTGATATAATTTTTTTCTGTACATGTAGTAATAGAACAAGCATGTAGTTAAATTTCACATGTTAATATGAGCAAGATTAGGATATATAATACGTTTAATATTAAGTTATATTTTAAGAACTGTAAATACAATAAGAATACCAAAAAAATTATTGTAATGTGTATTTAATATTTTTAAATTCACATTTCCAAAATCTTATAAAATAAAATCGTTAATGTGAAAAAAAATTGTAAAATGTGCAGTAGAGGCATCATACCAATTTGTGTTATCTCTTATGTAGTACATTGTTATTTTATGAATAATGTTCTTTTTTATGTCTTAAATATGCATTATTCATGCAATAGCCAGTATATTAAAGCATAAGAACTAAATAAATACATATATTTTTATGCATTAAGTTCTTATAAAATAAATTTTTAATATTATTAGCTTTTTTTGTAACATTGTCTTATTAATATGTCAAATTAACATTTGTTTTTGTTCTATTATATTATGAGAATTATTTCACCTTTATATTATGTTATCAGAGATGATGTAATAAATGTAATTTTATTATAACATTATGAGTTTTTTTAAAAAAAATATTTTTGTCAAGATATATAATTATTCTTAAAGTTAATCAGAAGTATATGGTGCGTTTCTGAAATTACTACTAGGTATTTTGGATGGTTGCGGCATGTTGTATTCTCTATATATATTAACTCTTAAATTTATTTTTTTCATTATTCTGTTTCTCAAGCATGATCCAAAATTGGTGAACTAATACGTAATAAAAAATATGCATACATTATATATATAAAATTATTTTTGGTAATATCTATATTTTATTAAAATTATTAAGATTATTTAATTTATATATAAAATATATATAAATTATATCATAAATAACCTTGTACAAAATAAATATAAAAAGAAGCCATTACTAATACTACAACAATTGGAATAAGAATATAAACTGCTGTGTTATTTATTTAAAATAACAATAACAAAAGTGACATATCTTTACAAGAAATTTCATTTTCCATTTGTAAATTATATTTTTCTCTAATTTTTTTTAATACATTACAAAACTAATGTTCCTGCTCAATTTACACTCCCTCCCGTATTTATTATTTATCACAGTATATTCTTTGGCACCACCGCATTTATTTTCACTACATTCTTCTTTTATTTGCTCTATATTTTTAATTTTTATATTCATGTCACATATATCTATGATTCTATCCAATTCAATCTCGGTGACATTTTCGTTATAATGGTCGCATATAGATTCCCCACTATTATTGAGTGCATCGATGAATCTTTTATAAATCCTTATAGTATTATTTTTATTTTTTTCACACCTTCCAACATGTACAGCATATATCCAATAATACAAACATGTGTAAATTACATCACTATCTTGGTTTTACCAATTTCCTTTGTGATCATGCAAATAAGCTGCAACATCGGGGCATGTATCCATAAATTTATAATTAGGGATATATTCATATTCCGCTTTAAATTGTTCACAATACACATGTCATAATGTGCAATCACTTCTGCCTTCGGCTTCTATATAATCAGTCAATTTATATTGTTTTTCTATAAATAATGTGGCTATACTAGGAAAATAAAAAATGATAATGTAAAGTCACCCTGAATAATGTATCTATAAATGATATATCAAATTAAATTAAAAAAATAAAATTATTAGTTAATACGTTCTTAATGTTTAATGTTAACCTGGTTTATAAATTTTTTAAAATGATTATTGTTCCTTATATTTAATATTCAAAATAGCTATATGCAAATTGGACACTTGTATCTCTTGTGACCGATGGTCCAAGCAGTACCCTCTGCAATTTTTCACTCATTCGCTTTTGTTTTTTTTTTTTTTTCTTTATAAAAACCGTTCCCAAAGGAGTGTACTGAAAAGAATAATAAATTAATAGAATGATAATTTTGTTGATATAAATAAATAAAAATATAGATATGATTCTTTTATTGCATCATATTTTTTTTACTTTTGTGAGTAGTATCAGTAACAAAATAATTGACAAGGGTACCATAACCATTATTATATATTTTTTATATGATGTCCAGTCTCCATTTTCATAATAGTTATCTAGTACAATACCCCTACCATTGATAGGTGTATCATCTGTAGGTTCAATTGTAGTTAATGTATTTTGTAATTGAGCTTTATCTGTTGAAAAAGAATAATCACTATAAGATGTTCCTGAAATCCCATTGAATATTTCAGAATATGTACTATATGATAGGAGAGTTGTAAATGAATGCAGTTATCGAGATGTGCAGAATCATGTGCTTCTCCAGGACATGAGTTATAACGACTAACACTCTAATGAGCACCACTTCCATAGTTACCTTGATCACGAATACCTTCTTGACTAGTCCCTAAAGGAAATTTTTCAACTGAAATGGCATCGTCACTACCAGAATTTTCACGACCTTTAGTTATATCAGCAGATTTATCAAGGCTGGAACCCTGTTTAGCATGAGATTGACTATTATCATCTTCAGAATGGGCAGATGCTCTATTAGTATCTGCTGTCTTTCCTACTCCATCATTATTGGGTATATGTTTGGTAATACTTTTAGGAGAACTTATGTTGCGAAGTATTGTAGAAGCAAATGTATTGTAAAAAAGAGTTACTACATTAGAGATCTCTTTAGCAACATTATAATCATGCTTTTTAACAACCTGCTGAACATTATCTTTAGAATCTTGTATTTTACTTTGAGTATCACTTTCACTTAAAGTAGTCACAGTATGTGTATCTCCTGAAGTAGATAACTCTGCAGAGTTTTTTTTTGTAGATTGAGCATTTTCACTGGTTGGTAATTCGCCATTTGCTAAATTACTTGTGACAGATAAGGATCCTTGTGGATCTTCTACTTTCACAGGTGTAGTAGAATGTTGATGAACTATTGATAAAGGTGATTTGCCTTGATTTTTATCAGAAATATTTGTAGGAGCAGATTCTTGCTCTCTGTGTATAATTTCGTTTCCTCGACTTGAATCTTTTTCGACAGCATGATTCTTGTGTTCTGGGGGATCACCACTTTCTGGGTCTTTGGTTTCTGATATAACCGTCTCCAATTGTGATTCTGACCTTAACTCTTGTGGTTCTGATAACCTTTCTTCTTTACTAATATTATCACCTACACATAATTTATGCGTACTTAATTTCAATTTTTCATTTTCTTCACTACATTTAAAGGTATTCTTAACATATTTACACTTATCACCACATTTTCCACAGTAAATCATTACCTCATTTCCTCCATACACATCAACAAAGGAAGAATTTAGTTTACGACATTCACTTTTTATTGATATTACAGTTTTGTTTATTTCACCACATTCCTTGCATATACCCCCACAATCATAATTCTGAATATTATTACATTTTTGTTCAATTCGTGCTAAATATTCATAATATTTATCTTGGCAGTCCTGTGTCGTAGAGTGTTGGTTATCAATGGTAACAACAATTTTATCTTTCATTCTCTACACATTAACTTTTACTATAGCTTTATTTCCTTTTACTTTGCTCAAACAAATAATAATAGAAAATAAATTATTCTTATGGGTATGTACATTTGCATATGGGAAATTATTATTCTTGTGTCACGACATTATAATAAAAAAATTACGGAATTACAATTAATTATATTCATAAAAGATATAAGTTAATTTATTTAATATATTATTTGGATCTTTTTAAATCAAATATATAATTTATTTGAAGTATTAACATTTTGATACTTAATTATTTATATCTGTAGCAGTATAAAATAATTGAATTAGCAAATATATATTTAATGAATTTGCAATATTGTTATACATTAAATTCATATAGTATATGAGATGGTGTATAAAGACATTAAGGATAGAAGTTAGTTAATGATAAATTATATATAATAATATAAAGTTCATTTAGATTTTACACTAAAATTTTAAAATAATGAGCGTAATATAAATCATTTAAGTGGTATATATAAGTTGAATAAGACTTGTTCTATAAACAGTTTTTTATATAATTTTATAATAATAGTAAGATATTTCATATATTTAATGTTGTCTACATAACTCATTACAACTCCATTATTCGATTATAGTTTAATTTCTTTTTTATGAAGAGTGTTATTATTAAAAAGAAGTGCATTTATAATTTGGCTTAAATTAAAACATTGGATACTTTCACTTCTGTTTAATCGTGATTATGCTCATATATTTTGAATCTCATAATTCTATATATAATGATAAGGAATATATATATTATAATTAGAATTATTTTATGATCGTAAAAACAGTTTATAACTAAAATGCCCATTTAACACATAAAACAAATTAGAAGTGGTATAAGTGGAAAATCATAGATTTAGGTTCTCCCTGTGTATATATGTTCTATTTAATTTTCTAGAAACATCTTCCCCATTACAAATGTCTTCTTTTTGCATTTCTACATATCTATATTTTTAGAATCATTAATTTTATTTAGGATACAATTAAAATGTTATAATGCTCATGAATTCAAAAAAATTTCAATATAACTAATATTAATTTGAAAATATTGTAATGCATTGGGCAATTCATGAAAAATTACTAACATATGTATGCAAAAATTTTTTATAGTCTTAGCACTAAAAACTATAAAATAAATACTATATACATTTCTCCTAAAGTATACTAAGAAAATATATTGTATATATAATGACAATACAAAAAATCAGTTTATCCTATATTATTCTAATAATTTATGTGGAACCTTTGCATTCACTAATCAGATGTATATTATTGCTGATTTTTCGTATTCTATGTATAAACATTGCTGCTTTGTTTTAAACTACCAATTTCTTAATTTTTTTGTTCAGTATATAAATCTTTCACATCTACGTGATACATAATAGATTTAGGCTATATATAAAATATTTAAGCCAAATATTTTAAAAAATATATATTTAAAATTAAATATGCTTCAATTAAGTACTTCATTAAAAGGTTATATTATAGTTTTTTTATATGATCATTTATATGTTGCTCTCTAGCATCCTTTTAATTTAATGTTATTTCAATATTTTTCTCATTAGTGGAAAGAAATCAATGATAAGGTTGAAATATAATATCTTAAACTACTTGCCTTAAAGAACATATTTTTTTGTATAAAACAAGCTTAATATGTATTCTTTATTATTGATATTAGGCATATTAGCTGTTATTTCAATCCGGTTATTTTACTATTCTTTTATTGGATATATTGTTAAAAAGCTTAACCCTTTTTCTATGGTAGTCTATAATGTCTATAACAAAAACTAATATGTAGTAACCTTCTCAAACGAAATACAGTATTTTATTTTTAATACATTAACTGTGTAGAAAAATATTAATAATATCTTCAATATTTATTCATAACTTCCTTTTAATAGGATACAGTATATTATTAACAATTCACTATTTTATCTTTCATATATATTCATTATATATTTAGTGGTGTTCATATATTCCTTTTACATTAGTTACTCGTATTGATAAATTTAACCGAATGTGTTTCTCTCCTTAATGCAAAAGCCAATACTTCAATATTTTAGGTATCTTTTTAAAAATTTTCTACGTTTTGAGTGTTATATAAACGTGTCTATTTATTTTAAAATTTTATGGTCTTTTTA